CCATTCGATACGACCGATCGCAGAACTGTGTGTGCCCGCCCGGTCAGTTGGAAGAGTATGCAAATTAACGCGGTTTGGGGGGGGGGACGTTAAAGGGGTCAGGAAGGTTCAGAAAAAATCACCCTAAAGCTAGCTTTAGTTCTAAAATTAGCATAAAGTACACGTACACGAAATATGGAAATTAGGAAGGATTTTGCTATAGAACGTAATCCGTAAAATTTCATAGCTTTTACAGTACCCCCCTGTCGCCGCAGCTTCCCTGTTCCGTATTTTACCATCGACACCTAGCCTCCCACCGCACTTTTGCAACCGTTTGTAAAATGCAAATGAGGAGCGGGTTGTAAATGGAGAAGCGCGTATAGCCAAGTTTTCGAGGAGGGGGGCGTATTGTCGGGTTGTTTGCACCCCCGGGGGGTCTCGAGGGGGGATAGATGGCTATTCGATGCCCCGGGGGATCGGATGTTGCTTACGGTCTTATAGTCAAATTGAATGGGGGGATTGTCGGGATTCGAGGGTCGGTATTTCTCTCTCTCTCTCTCCCCTCTCTCTCTCTCTCAGGCTCTTGAAAGCTTGAAATATGAACTTGAAATTTCGGGTTTGAAGTAAAAACAAAAAAAAAAAAAAAAAAACAAAAAAAAAAAAAAAAAAAAAAAAAAAAAAAAAAAAAAAAAAAAAAAAAAAAAAAAAAAAAAAAAAAAAAAAAAAAAAAAAAAAAAAAAAAAAAAAAAAAAAAAAAAAAAAAAAAAAAAAAAAAAAAAAAAAAAAAAAAAAAAAAAAAGACAGAGAGAGAGAGGGAGAGAGAGTAAGAGCGAGATGATGCTCCTGTTCGCCGCCCTTCACTCTCAATTTTACCCTTTTTGATACCTTACCACTCCACTCAATTGCTCATGGAGTCCCACTCCTTCCGGTCGCTCTCAATCTCTCGCTTTGTGTGTGGTGTGTGACAGCAAGAAATGATGGGTGGCTGACCGATGGGGCCCCTCCGACATGATCGATTACACCTGACACCCCCTGAGTCTACGGCTTGACCCACCTCAGACATCGGAGGAAACTTTTAGAAACCCGCATGCTCAGCCGGAGGGTATCGGAATTTTTAAAGGGATCTTGAAACATCATAGATTCGTACTGTACCGTACCGCGACGCAGTACTCTTGCGTTCCGTAGCGCAAAGCAGCGTATTGCAGCGTACCAAGAATGACTGAACAGTGCTTTATAGGATTTCGGATTTTGGGTGCTACTGGGCAGGTCAACGCAGCGTACGGTGTATACGTAGCGATGCGTACCTTAAGCGGGGTGATGCGTAGGCGTACGCGATCGCCTCAGCTTAGGCTCAGACTTGGGCTTCGGCCCAGACTTAGGCTGAGGCTTGGTTCGGGCTTAGGCTTAGGCTTCGTCGAAACTTTCCCCCAATACATTTAGTTTAAGCCTTCGAACAATCCCGAAAACTTCCCCCCTTACGGCCTATTTTTCCTAGCATCACCTTCTAGCCCAGTCTCTCCGCCTAGTCAATTTTTTTACGATCCCCGCTCAATCCGTCGAGCCGCCGGGGAGTCGATTGGGCCACTCAATTAGTCACCTTCTCCTGGCCCCGGGGAGTGCGAGCTAGAGGAGCCGGACCACCGCTCGCTGGCTGATGGCCAGTTGAAAGCGGGGTTTACAGTTGAATTTCACCCCCTTGGAGCCGAGGCTGGACATGGCCATTCGGGTGCCACCTTGATTTATGACCCTAGAGGCGAGAGAGCAAAAGAGAGAGCAAGGGAGAGAGAGAGATAGATAGAGAGAGAGCGAGAGAGAGAGAGAGATCCCCACACCGGTCAGGACCTTGTCCACCTTGATTTATCTGGACCTCCATGTCCGCCGGGGGTTGATAAGGCATTAAAGGGGCTGGGAAGGCAAATATCTGTATATATTGTAAAATTTTAAGCAAAAAAATTACCATAAATTGCTTTGAATAATTTTTCCATTTCAGGCCCGAAAGGCGAGGCCGGGATGCCAGGACCGCCGGTAAGTCGAATTTCGTCAATTTCTAGTCATTTAAAAAATTCTAAAAAATTCTATGGATATTGAAATGTAAGAAAGACAGTAGTTTTCATCAAAAAATTTTATAAAAATTTACAACGAAAGTGAACACCAAAAATACATCAAAAATTAGTGCCGTCGCGGTGATGCGATAGACTGGGAAGTGCGTGATGTAGCGTTTTTCAGTTTTTCAGCCCATTTTTTTACATGTTTTGAGTTGTAAAATCTTATTTTTAATTAGTTTTTCCTTTTAGTTCGTTGGTGGTTGAGTGGTGGTGCGATTTCAGGGTCTACCCGGTCTCCCAGCGCCGTACTACGCCAAGAAAAAGTACCACCAGCAGCAGCAGAAGTTGAACGCCAGCCCGGCCACGTTGCCGTTTAATGTGCGTGTGTAGTTTGGAGTTTGTAGCCTGTAGTTTATAATTTGTAGTTGTAGTTTATAGGCCAAACTTTGTAGGCTGACAGTTTAGAGTTTGTAGTTTTAGCTGATAGTTTGTAGCCTGTAGTTTATAGCTGAGAATTTATTGGCTCTGAAGAGACTACAATTTTAAAGGGACAGACAAGGCAAATTTATAGGTTTTTATATTACTTATATTTTTTAAATATTTTTATATGTACTTAAAATTTAATTTTTCATTTTTTTGGTGGCGTTTCATATCATTTTATTTATTTATTTTTGAAAACTTGTAAATCCGGCCACTCCTTGGTTAATTGGTGTCGTTGCAGCGGTTGGACCCGGCGCTGCGCCGGAAGCTGCGATCGTTCGGGTTCCTCTACTCACCTGATGGCAAGGCCATTCAACTACAGGGTCTCCCGGGCCCGCCAGGACCGCCGGTAAGGAGATGAACAATTTAAAGGGACCGGGAAGGCAAGAGGAGCAAGAGGTTTTGCCTTTGAGTTTCTGTTTTTTGGTAGGGACCAGCTCAAAAAATTTGGTTCCACAGCGATTCTAAAGTTACGAAAAATCCATAGAAACTTTCTGGGAGTGCAAATAAAAAACCCACAAACGCTGAGCAAAAATATGGGTCTGATAGAGTCGGCGATGGGGTTCCGAAACTGCAATCAGAATTTCTAACCTATACAAAAATAGTTATGAGCATTTTAAGTTTTGCACACATGCTCCCCCTCCCTATGAGCCCCTCCCAAGATGGGTGTCCCCTGTCGAGTGGTATAGTGCCTAACTAGCATACCTCTGGGGCGGAGGGTCTCTGGTTCGAACCCCGGTCTGCAAAACTTTTGCTTTTGGTCAAAGTCAACAACTTTAGACTTTTAAAGTTTCGAAGTCCGAAATTTAGATTTTTAAAATTGTCTTTATTATTGACTGCGTCTAGGCCTGCCTTCGAAAATAGAGTGAATCTTTTAGTGCCCTATCCGCAAGAGTACTGACACTCCCCCCCACTTTGCAATCAGTTTCATAAATTTAATTAAGAGAACGACCCTTTCGATTTCGAAGCTTTGAAAATCCGAAAAAGTTTTGCATGACCGGGGATTCGAACCAGAGACCCTCCGCCCCAGAGGCATGCTAGTTAGCCACTATACCCTCGACAGGCGGACACCCTCTTTGGGAGGGCTCATAAGGGAGGGCGGAGATGTAGTGCAAACTTATGCTCTACTATTTTGTATTCAGCTTTTGCAAATTCTGTTGCAGTTTCGGATCCCCATCGCCGACTCTATCAGACCCATATTTTTGCTAAGCGGTTTGCTGGGTTTTTTATTTGCACTTCCCTAGTTAGATTTTTGTCTTCCCGGTTCCTTTAAAAGGATTAGGAAGGCAAAAATACGATTTTTCTATAGATTTTTGGAAATTTACGGTTCTTAAATAGCTTTTGGACTGGCTGCCAAAAGTCTAAAGCCGATTCAAAAATTCTGACCTCTGCCTTCCCGGTCTCTTTAAAGTGGTACGGTAGCTTATAAAACACGATTAAAACGTTTTAAAGGGAGCGTGACAGCTGTGAATTTGCTGAAATAGTCGAATTTTGCAGCAAACCAGTTCTGGCACGATCCCTTTAAAATATAAATTTTCTAAATACTTGGATTTTTCTAAAGTTATCTACCCGGAATTTAAAGCCAGAAAATTAAATTAAATCATAGAAAATCGAAAAATTTCTTGAAGCTACCGTACCCCGGAATTCTTTCCAAAGCATGCCCCTTCCATTTCCTTTCCCCCACTTTCTTTCCCTCTGTTGTGCTATCGTTGTGCTTGGCAGGGCGGCGCTTGCGAGAAAATATTATATAAATAATATAATTAATATAATATACCATTAAAAATGACAAATCCCGCATCCCCATCCCCGCAATAGCACGCACCCCCACCATTTCCAGGGCTCCAAGGGACAACGCGGATACCCGGGATTTCCGGTAGGTTACTGTCGGTCAAGAAGTCTTCAGAAATTTTTATGTTCAAATGTCGCTTACGCTTTTTGCACGCAGATTTGGTTAAGGAAGATTTATCTACGTTTTTATCTCGGTTTCTCTCTCTTTCGCTATTTCTCTCTCACCCTCCATTTCTCTCTCTCTTTCTCTCACTTGCTCTTTCTGTCTCACGCGCGTGCTCTCTCTTTCTCTCTCTCTCACTTGCCCTTTCACTCTCTCTCTCTCGCTCACTCTCGACCTCGGAACACAGAGCAGGCCATGCAATTCCTACAAAATTAAAAAATATTTCAATACAACTGCACGTTCACCGTACTGTACCGTACTGTCTCTGTTCACTCACCCATCTTTCCCTTGGTTTTCTGTCTTTTTTTACAAACTAACCTCTCCTAACCACCGATTTCCAGGGCCCAATTGGACTCGACGGACCGAGAGGACTGCCAGGTGTTCCAGGGATCAAGGTTGGTCTCTTTGAATTTGAAGCAACGCGCAAGCGTGTCCCCATCAGCGCATGACACGCCACGCGTCCGCGACGCGTTGAAAGCTCTGTTAAATGCCTCACTTTCAGGGTGACCGTGGTGACCGAGGGCCGGTCGGACCCCCAGGGTACGATGGGACCGAAGGGTGACAAGGGCGTCTGCACGAATTTGGCTGTAAGTTGATGGTTTTTAGGGTGTCACCATCTCTTTAAAAGGATTAAAGTTCTTTTCTGACTTTCGAGACTTTAAATTTAGGTCAATAGCAGGCAAAATTCGTAGTCTTGCCTCACAATCCCTTTAAATCCACTTCCAGCTGCCCGGCTCGCCGATGTCCGGCTCGCAAATGATGGTCTCCGGCCCGCCCGGACCGCCAGGATTGCCTGGTAAGTTTTTGGGTTCGGAATTGGCTTTTTTTCGGGGGTTTTTTTGGAGATAAAAACCGCTTTTTCAGGACAACCCGGCAAACCGGGTCGTGACGGGCTGAACGGATTGCCGGGGCCGAAAGGCGAACGTGGACTGCCTGGATTTGATGGGGAGAGTAAGGTAAGGGAATTTTACGGCATCCGATCTGTCCCTCTCTCTCTTTCTCTCTCTCTCTCTCTCTCTCTCTCTCTCTCGCTATCTCTCTCTCTCTTCTGTCGCTCTATTTAGCTTTTCTCTCTCTTTCGCAACACGCGCTACGCTTTTTAGAAGCTTTTTAACCCCTAACCATACCCAAATTCCAGGTGGGACCCAAAGGAGACCCGGGCGAACCTGGCCGAGATGGAATGCCAGGACCCCGTGGCCCGGCCGGCGAGCGAGGACCAAAGGTTTGACAGTTTTCATTGAATTTCCTTTCCATTCCTAACCCCTTGAATTCCATTCGATAGGCCGAAGACGGTGGCGCGCAGCCAATCTGGGCCCCCGGCCCCCCTGGGCCACCCGGAATCCCCGGAGAGCCCGGGTTGCCCGGATTGTGTGCGAAGGTAGCATCGCGTACTGTACTAATTCGGGGAGCGTGCCGCTTCCACTCACTTTAACTTTGTTGGCTGAGTTTTGAGCCTAAACCTACGCCTAAGTCTAAGCCTAAGCCGAAACTTAAGCCTAAGCCTAAGCTAGTCCTAAGCCAAAGCCTAAAAAGCTTAATTAACAGAGTTATCCACACGCAAGAACAAAGCTCAACCTCGGCGTGCCAAGGCTAAGCCTAAGGCTAAGAAAACCTAATTAACAGAGTTACCGCTTTAATATCATCAGTTTCATCCGATCTCGACGAATATTCCAAAATTCAAATATTTTCAGGGCGAAAAGGGCGAGCGCGGCGACCGTGGCCACAACGGTACCCCCGGAAACCCCGGCGCCCCTGGCGTTGCTGTATCTGCCGGAAATTCGGGACGTGGAAACGGAACCCCGGGTCCACCAGGACCTCCCGGACGTGATGGAAGAGATGGCGAGAAGGGCGAAAAGGTACGGTAGTTGACGGAATTTACGTAATTTCGAGCTCCGGGCCTTCAAATATTGAGTTTTAGTAAAAAACAAGGAAAATATTGAATTTTAATTTGTTATAATAGCAATTTAATTATTGAAATTACGGATCAATGAAAATTAAATTCAACAACTAGAAAATTCAGAAAGGCTTGAAATTTGAGTTTAGAAATTTTCATTTTAGATCTTTGCAAAAAACTGATATAAATTAAATTATTCTAAAAATCTTCATCTTTAAATATACAAATCCATCTTAAATTTTCTTGTGAGCCTTCAGCCTTCGTCCTAAATGTTTTCGAAACTAATCCATTTTTTTCGCGTTTTTCCAGGCTACTCGCTGTCGTTTTCGGCACCTCTTGTATCTCTCGATAATTTCAAATTCCCCGAATAACCCGTGTTTTTTGGCATTTTTAACGTGTTGTTCAGGGCGAACCGGGTACGAGTGGACCCCCTGGACCCGAGGGACCGATCGGACCGCCCGGCGAGATCGGCAAGAAGGGCAGACGCGTAAGAATCGCTTTTTGAACGTTAAGATCCTAAAAACGTCCTATGTTCGGGCACAAATTGTCTGGTGAACTTGTTCAACTCGTGTCCACCACCGCCGTTTTCCGTTCAGCTACTAATTCCACCGCATTTTCGGTTGTTATCTGGATAATGTAGCAGGAAAAGAGGGGTTTAGATACGGTGAGAACTTACTGTAGATTACTGTGGCTAGGATCGATTTAAAAAACATCCAACGCCCCAGCTTTTGTTGAAAAAGCAAAAAACTTTGCCACTCCCGGGGATCGAACCAAGGTCTTGTGCGCGATAAGCGAACGCAAAACCAATGAGCCAACAGGGTGATCCATTCGGGAAAGGACACGCCCTCTTCCCCCAGGGAGGCCTTCGAGACTGCAACCCGTTTTTAGGGAAAACCCGGCCTCCCCGGCCCGCCCGCCTCGAACCAGTTGGGCAACACCGACGAGCTGTTGCGCGAGCTGATGCCCGCGATCAAGGAACAGTTGACGGAGATCCGAGTGAAACACGGATATCCGGGACCGCCGGGACCCGCCGGGCCCTCTGGACCTATTGTGAGGGATTGGGACACACTTTAGAATTCGAATTTAGGGCCCACCAGGGTTGAAGGGAGATCGAGGACCGCAGGGACTCCCTGGACATCAGGGAGAACGAGGCGATAGAGGGGATATGGGAGCACCAGGACTGCCTGGGCAACCGGTAGGTGGAGAGAGTGAGAGAGAGAGGGAGAGATAGAGAGAGATAGAGAGAGTGAGAAAGAGAGAGAAAGAGAGAGAGAGAGAGAGAGAGAGAAAGCGAAAAATTCATCGCTTTTCAGGGCCAAGTCATCGAAGTCGGAACGTCAGGAGGCAGCGGAGTCCAGGGTCCCCCTGGCATCCCCGGACTCCCAGGACCGCCCGGAGAAAAAGGAGATCGAGGGGAACGGGGAGAAGGACTCCCAGGACAACCAGGAAGCCTTGGATTGCCGGTAAAAATTGTTTTTTAAAGGAAAATTAAAAATTGAAAACAAAACCAAAAATCGAATTTTTTAAACAATAATTTTGTAAATAAACCTTCTGTAAAGGTTTTCTTATTAGTTAATTATTGATTTATTTCAGGGTCCACCCGGCCCGATGGGACTCCGCGGCCCGCCTGGCCCCGAACCGAAAGGGGCAAGTTTTACTCGTTTTCTCAGCTCCCAGGGTTTGCCGTGTTGTTTGAAGTGTGAATTTTAGCTGCCAGGTTTTGCTGTGAACAGGTTTGGAGAGCACTGTTGTGTCAAGTGTTCTTCTTCTTTCAGTTGTAGATGCACTCGAATTTAACTAAATCTATCAAAAAAAAAATTCTGATTTCATTAATGTGTTAATTTGCATTTTTAGGGTCGTGCCGGCGCACCAGGACCCAAAGGAGACCCCGGAGTGATGGTGGGTGAATAAAAATTTGAATTCAGCGTTTAAAAACTGTTTAAAATTTAACTTAAAAATTTCACAGTTTTTTGCCTGTTCTAGGTTTCGGTTCTTCTATTTTAATTATGTAGTTGTTTTATTGCAAAATTGACAGTAAAATTGAATTTTAGGGCCCGCAAGGACCGCCCGGACCTAGAGGGCCATCCGGTGAACCGGGCGAGAAGGGCGACCAGGGCATCCCGGGGCTCGACGCACCATGTCCGATTGGGCCCGATGGACTGCCGATGGAGTTCTGCGCCTGGAAGAATGGAGATGTAGGTTTTTTGGGCTTTAAAGGTACAATGAAGGCCAATCTGGTTTATGGATTTTGTCTCAAGCCTAATCTAGGCTGGTAGGGATGCTTCAAAAGCTTCAGAAGTCAATATAGTTCTGTCTCGTCTCTTGCACTCTCGTTCTCTCGCTCTCTCTGTCTCTCTCTCTGTCTCTCTAACTCGCTCTATCTCTCTGTCTCTGTCGCTCGCTCTGACTCGTCAAAATGCCGATAGACAAAAAGCCGACGACCAAAATACCGACACATAACCTCGCTCTCTCTCTCTCTTTCTCTCTCTCTCTCTATCTCGCTTTATCTCTATCGCGCTCTTTCTGGCTCTTTCTGCCTCTCTCGCTCTCCTTTTCCTTCGCAGAACAAGCTCAACGCCATACAACTCAACAAAATTCGAAATATTTTAAGTTTATTCGCATGCCTCGCTTACAAATTCTATGAAATTATACAAATTTAAAAAATGCGTGAGTTGACTTTGCGTATTTAGGGCTCAAACGTGCGCACGAATTACGGGTAAGCCGCCAAAAACCATAAGTTTCATTCCGGAATGCCGAGTTTAAATGTTCAATGTATAACCTTTTGCTAGTCTAAATTCTGTGTACTAATCGCCCCCGTTGCAGTCAGAGGAGAACAACCTCGACAAGACGAACCTGAAGCAGCGGAGAAGCCAGACAGAGGGGAAACGCCGGAAGCACAAGAAGCACCACCGGCATTCGATCAGCCACGAATTGGCATGGAGTGATTTGGACAGTAATAATACTACTTGAAAAGGTGTGTAAGCTGCTTGGGCTTAGGCTTAGGCTTAGGCTTAGGCTTGGGTTTGAGCTTAAGTTTAGGGCTAGGCTTAAGCTTCGCTTTAAGCTCTGTAGGCTAGCTGCCGCTTCTGATCTCAGTAATGGCTTACGCTCCGTAATTTTACTCTGGACTCCTCCGTACTGTGTACCGCTTCGTACTCTTTGGCCTGTAGTTCATACTATGTACTGGTTTTTATAGTGTTTTAATTCGTGTCTGATACTACTGCTGTCCTTACCGTACCTTATAGTCTATTTCTGTACGCTGTACTGAGCTGTACTACTACGCGTACTACGCTGTACGCTGTGCTACGCCGTGTTACAGTACTTTGTAGTTTGTACTCTTGCTTACTTTGTACTTCTAATCAGGGACGTAGCGTAATACAGGCCCGGGGCCCGGCCCGAAATCGGCCGGGGCCCGAAAATGTCATAAGGGGGGACCCTTATGATTTTTATTTTCTCAAAAATTTTGCCCTCGCCTCTTTCCGTTTTTCGGCGTTTGTAGAAACATGTCTCTTTTTCAAAAATTTTTGCCTGCGGCGCTGTTTTCTCGTTGATGTTGTGAGTATTTAGGAAAAATTTTTTGGGGGCCCGTTTTCTGGCTCCTTCTAATACTTACAGTTTTTTCTGAATGTCAATTCTATGTGATTTCTCTCTGTGTATGCCCTAATCTGAAAATTATCCAATTTACACCCCGATTGTTGCCCTTCTCGAAATATAAGTCGCCACGTGCGCGCGGCTTGTAACAAATTCTTGCTAAAACGTGACCCTCTAACTACCGTATCCCCCGCAGAGCCCAATTCCCCCCGCTTTTCAGCATGCAGGGGAACCTTGGGATGGAGGACAGCGAGTTGCGCTATGAAGAGGTGGAAAAATTTATTGATTTGAATGAATTTTTCCGGTTTAATTGATTTAATATTTTTTTGAAATTTTAATATTTTATAATGTCCTTTATGCGCATCAATTTGTCTCTTTCAAACCCCTTTAAAAATCCGCTTGGTCGTTTTATTTTTGTTAATTTTTGCCGTATGATCTTTACTGCCAGCCACGGGATTCTTTCTACTCTCTCTCTCTCTCTCTCTCTCTCTCTCTCTCTCTCTCTCTCTCTCTCGCTACCGTACCCCACAACTACCGTAACCTATTCTTTAACGAATGCAAATTACGTTTTAAAAATTGCATTTTTTTAGCAAAATTGAAGACAAACTGTTTTTGTGATTTTGTAATTTTTTTTATGATAAAATCCTGCCCAATTTTCAAAATTGTCTTATTTCTCATTTGTGTTTTTTATGTGATCTTTGTAAAGATAAAGTTTATTTACTAAAACCAAAAAATCCCAATAGGCAAATCCAAATTCCACACAAAAATATTCGAAATTGCAAAAATGCACCGGGCCACGGGGAGTCAAAAAATCTCAGTACTGCATACATTGAGCAACAATGGAGAAAAACATTCACAAAAAAATCGCAAAAAATCGTAAGAGGGACGTAAAATGGATCAGCAATCGATTACAGTATTAAAATGGTCAGATCTCAAATTTTTTTGATCGAATTTTTGAACGGTTATAGATTACCCGAAGCACTGAAACAGGCAAGCGGAACGAAAGGGGCAAGACAAAAAACGGGTAAATATGCAGATTATGTCGGTACTAGTCTCTTAGCGGGGGGGGGGCGTTTCGCGGCCTGCTTAGAAATGCCAAAGGCCAAAAAATGGAATTGTTGAAGGATTTTTTTATGATTTTAGCGATCAGACAGGAATTAAAACACCATAAAACCAGGATATAAGCAAAAAAGACACCCCCGCTAAGAGATCAGTACCATTGATTGATAAAAATTATGTAAATTTTGCTAAATTTTCAATTATGCAAATGACTTTAGTTGTAGCATAAACTAAAATAATTCCGACTAAAAATACGTTAATCCAAAACGTATGTTAATGAGGCAAATTATGCAAATACTACTAAAATTATGCGAGTTAATGCAAATTTCGTAAATTTGGAAAATGTAATGGCAGAAGCGCCAACCCGCTGTGGTTCTCGTTTGGTCGATGAGGAGACGCAGAAAATACGGTCGTTAGTGAATCGAGTTAGCCGCTAAAATCTGGATCAAATACGGTAGAAAATCGATTATGGTAGCAAAAAGTAAAAGAGAAAAATGCAATTTCTGGAGGGTTTTGTGATTTTAGGGATAATAAAATATGGCGGGATTGGCAAAAAAAAGTTCAAATTAAGTTGGGGTAAATTTGGGGGGTAGTTGGGCGGATTAAAGGGACGGGAAAGACAGGGCTATGAATTTGTTGATGTATATTTCGATATCATGAAATCCCGTTGTTCTGAAATTTCGACATTTCGAAAATTTAAAAAATTTGAATCCATAGCCATGCCTTACCGGTCCCTTTAAAACCTTCAAATTAAAAATAGCAAGGGTAAAAAAAAACATAAAATCGATCCGTAAATAGTTAGTACTCGGAGTGGCGAGCCGTGAAGATAGACGTCATGTCGGCGCCGCTTCTAAATCGGGGTGAAAAAATATTAGGTAATTTGGGTGAAGGCAAAAAGAGAGTGGCGCATGCAAAGCTGAGGGGCTACTCGTGCACAATTGGGGGGCGTCGATTGGAAAAATGGCATACTGTAGTCTTGAAATTAACTTCGCGTTTTTCTGTCTCTTTCTCTCGCTCATTTTCGCTCTCTCGCTCTCTCTGTCTGTCTCTCTCCCACTCTCTCTCTCGCTCTCTGTCTGTCTCTCCATCCCTCTCTCTCTCACTCTCGCTATCTCTTTGCTTAGGTCTCCCCTATCACTCGCTCTCTCTCTCCCTCTCGATCACTCGGCGACCGAATCTATGGCCCTAACTTGCCTTCCCGGGTCCTTTAAACGCGCACTTCCCCCACAACAAAACTACAAACTACAACAGATGCCAGGGGAGATAGCCGTAGAAAAAATACGGGAAAGAAATCTCAGCAAACACACACGTTTCTTTGGATACTGGCCCACACCAGCGCTTACACGGTGAAGTCGTCAGGCAGATCGGGGACGGGCAGGAAGGCGTAGCGGAGGAACAGCACCAAGATCAAGAAGTTCAACAGCTCGAAGATGCCGAGGAAGATGTGGTCCACGCGCCCGAACATACGATTCCACTCTTTTTCGACCTGAAATTGGGGGAGATGTAGATCTTTTGGCAATTTCTCTCTCGTTCACTTTCTCTCTCTCTCTCTCTCACTCTCACTCTCTCGGTCTCTCTCACTCTTGATCTCTCGATCTCTCTCGCTCTCACTGTCACTCGCCTTCTATCTCTCTCGCTCTGAAGACCGCACTCTCTCGCTCTCTCGCTCTTCTCTCTCCCGCTCACACTTTCAGGCTCGCTCTCTCTGACTCTCTCTCGCTCTCTCTGACTCTATCTCTCTCTCTCTCTTTCATTCTCTCTTACCCTATTCAACCAAACACTCCTCTCGATTCGCTCCCTGTACGTCTTCTGCGCCCTCGCCACCTCCGTCAATTGCACATATATGGCCGCCAAATCCGGGAACTTCGGGCTATCACTGAAAATGAGAAACGCGGTCTTGCGAGGAGCACGACATTGACAAGCCGCAATGGGGGGATTGCTGGCAGCAACTGAATATCTAGCAAATGTTCTATACTGACTGGCCGTTGCAGAATATACATATTCAGGCAAAAAAAGAAACGAAAGGCTGGTAATTTCATTTTTTCGCGCCGTCAACTTTACCGTAGTATTGAGGCGGATGAGGTGCTGATTAGGCTTTCACCGCTGGATAAAGAGGGGGTCGATATCGAGATAGGGATCGAAAGGATGAGGCAGGCATTTCGGGGAAATGTCGACAGGCTAAAATGCCGACACCCACAAGTCCTAACCAAATGTAAATAGCATTTTAATGCCAAGTGGTTACGTGTCGGTATTTGGGTCGTCGGCTTTTTGGTTGTCGGCATTTTGAATGTCGGCATTATGGTTGTCGGTATTGTGGCTTTTCTGCAGAGAGAGAGAGCGAGAGAGAGCGAGAGAGAGCGAGAGAGAGTGAGATAGCGGGAGAGAGCGAGAGGGACTGTGAGAAAAAGCGTGAATAAAACCTACGCTTGTTTAACAAATTCATTTGCCGCATACTGCGATAACCCATTCATCGCGCATTTTTTCATTGGCTGCAGCATTAATATTCGGTATGCCTGTGTAGAGGGCATCCGCTCCGTTTGGATGTACGATCTGGAAAATTTGGAATATTTGAAAAGTTCGTTACAATGTAGAGCGAGAGAGAGAAAGAGAGAGAGAGAGAGAAGAGAGAGAGAGAGGAGAGAGATAGAGAGAGAGAGAGAGAGAGAGAGGAGAGATGAGATAACTCATACCTCGACAACCCGAGCAACGCCATCGATATCGCCACCCCAACCGCGCACAACATGATGACGACAATGATGTAGAAGCCGAGCAACGGAATCGAATTTGATTTCGGCATCGCCCCGGCCACTAAAAAATTGAAAATGTACCGAGATTTGGTACCCCTTCCTGTCACCATCCCTTTAAATCTCTTACCGATGTCCAACAACACCGTCATGGCCAAGAGGGACCCCAGCCCTAGCGACACTTTCTCATTCCTGGGCCCATCATTTGAGCCCGGGGAAAATATGCCCAGAATGGAGAGGGCCGAGATGAGGAAGGTCGGCACGACGATGACGGTCACGTAGTAGATGGGGCGACGGTTGAGGTGCAGGATGTAGTGAACCTGGAATTGATCGTCTCTCTCTCGCTCACACTCTCTCTCTTTTTCGCTCTCTCTCTCTCCCTCTCTCTCTCTCGAAACTCTAGGCACTAAGGTTATCAATGTCTAGTAATTTTTCGTTGTTGAACTGCTTGAACATTATGGGACGCGCCAAAACGAAATAAAGGGTTGGAATCGTGTTTTTTTCTTGTTCTCTGTCTCATTCACCCTCACTTCCCACCTCAACTCTATACTCGCCGTACTCCACGAACCGCAACTGCCGCACGGTAATGTTCATCACCTCCCATTCGGCGTTGCCCTGGAAGAACGCGACAAATTGTCAGAGAATATACCACGCACCGCAAAATACGAATCCTTGGGCGGCTGCGTGGCGTTGACGTCCATCTCCTGCACGTTCAGCAACGGGGACGCGAGTGCGACGGCGCAGAACTGGGTGTCGAAGGGGAACCTAGGCACGGACTTGATTTTTCTGACCTCCTTGAACTTGGTGGAACTCCCCAAATAAAAAAAACATTTTCTGTCATTAGCCGACAGCGTTAGGTTCTGAACTCGTTCAACTTGATGGAAAGAAAAACCTAGTTACTCTTTTCGGTAAATGCCGTTTCTTTTTTGAACTCCTAGCACTTTACGACAGGCGAGAACCATCAAGTTCTTTTCGTAATTTGGTATTGAACTCCTCGAACTTGACGTTTTGTCAAAAAGTGATGCTGATCATCTTCAACAAACTCACAGCTCAATGTTAAGCCGGCAGAGCACCGACGTGAATACGGGCATGTTGATCTTCACCTCGCCGTTGTGCTGCAACCGCACATCGAACCGATTTTCCGTGAGCATCTCCTTCGTCTCCATACTGGGCAAAGGTAAACAATAGAAAAACGTTTTCGCTACCTATTGTAGATGAACAGCTTCGGGAGCCAGACCAAATTCTGGGGGATCACCACCTGGGTGAGGTTGTTGAACTCGGCCGGGTTCCAGGAAAGCTTCGGTTCTTGCCACTTCTTCAAGCAGTAATTTTGGGGGTTTTAAAGAAACAATACCTGGATGTGGGACATCACCAACGAGGCGATTTGTTGGTTTTCGCGCTAAAAATTGAATTTATGGATTTTATTTGGACGATTCTCCGAGATTTCCCGTATAGAAAATTTTTTGTATTCTCTTTGTGGCTCTCTCTCGCTCTCGCTCACCTCTCCCTCTCTCACTCTCACTCTCCCTCTCTCTCTCTCGCTTGCTCTCTCTTTAGCTCTCGCTCTGTCTCTCCCGGTATCTCTCCCTGTTTGGTACCTTGCGTGATTAAAAATCTTGGCGTGAGCGAAGGATGGGAAAGAGCACGAGCTAGAGAAAGAGAGCTAGAGAAAGAGAGAAGGCTATAGAGCGTGAGAGAGAGCGAGCCGGACTCTGTGATAATTTGAGTCCTAGATCAATCGTCGATTTTAAGAATTTTACTTTCATATTTCTATCTCTCTCTGTCTCTCTCTGTCTCTATCGCTCTTTATCTCTTTTTCTCTCGCATCCACCCCCACCAAATTTCAATCCCCCTCATTATTCCCCATTTCAATCATATTCCCCTCCCCCACATGACCCATTCCATGTTTTTTTGATTAATTCCCAATCTTCCCAACCCGCGTTCCAGCAAAAATCGACGAATTCTCGGAATGAGTGGCACCCGAGAGGACGGGGGGAGGGCCTCAAAAAGCTCTCCCAAAATGCATAATGGGTCGCTAGGTGGGACGGGTGCTTTTGGAAACGCGGAGGCTACTTGAGGGCCGAGTTGCCCTCGTTGTGAGGAGTCCCAGTTCAAATATTAACCCCAAGCACCTTGTTTTCGGCTTCGGACATTTTTTGGGGGTTTCTGGCACTGGGTGGTACTGGAAGGGATGGCAATGGGTGAGCAAAGAAGCTTTTAGGATGATGTAAAAATTAGAATATCTACTTGAGGCCCGAAAATCATGATATTTTGACTGTTCCTGCCCGACTTGGAGTCAGCCATGGTCGACCTCATTAAAGGGTCACCTAAGGCAAACACACGCAACGCGCCGAAATCTTTCAGCTCCCAACTTCTAGCTTCTAACTTTTAGCTACCAGCTTTTAGCTCCCAACTTCTAGCTCCTAACTTCCCACTCCCGGCTAGAATTAAGCAGTTTCTCTCAAAAATCATTTACGGTGCTTTCAAGTTATCGGGGGGTATTTTTTCTAAAGTCCAGATATGCCTAAAAATGCAAATTTCGATTGGGTTTATAGTCGAAATTTAACAGTATTTGACGAGTAAAAAATGTTGCTCGAGAAATCGAATTTTGTATTTTTAAAACACATTTATTTTTTTGTTATCGATAGAAAGTCGTGACTTCAAAAAGTTATATTTTGCGACAATAATTTTGTGAATCTGAATTTTCAAAAAATTTGCAGCCAATAGGAAATGGCCACACCGGTTATGAAGCACCTACTCTAAGTTTTCAAAACAATTATTTTCGCAAAAGTTGCTTTCGGAAAGAGGACTCTTCGAAAAATGAATGTCTAAAAAGTGATTTTTGACGAGGTGATTTTCGGGGAGCTGTTTCGAAAAAATTATCGACCGTCTGCCTCGCAGCTCTTACCAATTCCGTAAGTATCCCCAACACAATCGTCATATGCACCATGACGGGTTGATGTGTCCCCTCGAGGGGTCGGACCCGTTTGTCGTAGTGTCGCGTCAAATGGTCCAACAATGCCGTTACGGTAGCTTAAATTTGCATTTTTTTAACTTCAACAAAGATCACTGCAATCAGGAGGGAAATCCCATGCGGTGTACACGTTACAACAGACTACATGCTACTCCAGGCAACGGAGCAATTGGCCAGGATTTTTGGGGGGTTTCTACCTGCTCCGTCCATCTGTTCGACCGGCTGCTGCACCTCCTGCACCCAGTCGTCGTCATTTGGGAGCGTCGCGTACTCGTCGGAGCCTGTGCCCGGTTGTTAGGGGCGTAGCGGAAATTTGTTAGGGTGGTTTAAAGGGACAGGGACAGGATGGGTGGCGAAAAGAGGTGTTATGAGCGAGTTTCCTATGGCAAAAATTCAGGCAGAACAGATACCGTCAGAAAAGTACTATAAAATCTTTAAAAAATGCAAATAGCAATTTTATCCAAGTTTTTGGCACCTTTTTGGCCGTTTATCCATTAAAAATCATCAAATAAGTCGTCCTAAACCTAAAAAAGACACTTACAAATCCATGCAGTTCTAGGCAATTTTCTAGAGGTTTTGCTCCTAAAAACAGTACTTTAATACTGTAAAATCTTAAAAAAAAACACAATTTGTAAGCGAAAAAGCTTTTGGTCAATTATTTACAATATTCTTACTGTAGTTTCTCAAAAAAATTACTTTTAAGGTATCAAAAAATGATGCCAAAATCAAAAAATTAAAAAGTGCGCGCATTCGCCGACAACTCTCATTAATGCATGCATAGAGGGATGGTAATGAAAATCGATAAAAACAGGGATACGATAGAAAGGTATTATAGCGGAATCAAGCCAGAAAACCCACTTTTCTTGTGGCGATGGCGTTTGGGCTGGCCGGGGCGGGTGTTTGGGACGAGGGACAAACCCGGGGTGCCGAGTACGGTAGATAGGGTGCAGAATAGGAAATAGACAACCCATTTACGCATCGTTCAACTGCTAGAAAAATATTAATTAAAATTTTTATAAAATATCAGGGAAGAAGAAGAGATACTAGCAGAGACCATTGAGGAGAGCTGGCAGAGACCATTGAGGAGAGCTAGCAGAGACCATTGAGGAGAGCTAGCAGAGACCATTGAGGAGAGCTAGCAGAGACCATTGAGGAAAGCTAGCAGAGACCATTGAGGAGAGATAACAGAGACCATTGAGGAGAGATAACAGAGACCATTGAGGAGAGCTAGCAGAGACCATTGAGGAGAGCTAACCGAGACCATTGAGGACAGCTAGCAGAGACCATTGAGGAGAGCTAGCAGAGACCATTGAGGAGAGCTAGCAGAGACCATTGAGGAGAGCTAGCATTATACCGTAAACAGAAAATGGCGTCGCCTCGGAAACTATCGTAAACGGGCTGTGTGGGTGGATCAGAAAATAAACGAGACGGAGGGCACTCCCCAGTTACCCCTCCTTCTGAATTGCGCCGAAAAAAGGAGGATGTTTGTGAGTTAAGGGACACAATCAGCTCAGTTCTTCAGATGGACACTAACAAATCCGCTGGCCTCATAGGGAGTTCCAGTTCCCGCTTTGATTTCTGGTGAATGGGGAGGCGGAACAAGAACTTGAGGGAGGTGATTTGCCGGATGAATTTTGGATGAAAGTGGAAGCAAGGGTCAGACAGAAAGTGGGAGAAAGGAGAGAGAGAGAAAGAGAGAGAGAAAGAGAGAGAGAGAGAGAGAGAGAGAGAGAGAGAGAGAGAGAGCAAAAAACGGTCTTACTGTCCTTTTAACCACCATAACCCGAACTTTCAGAACGAGATCTCCGCTTCCGAACACCTGCCATTTCAGGAGCCATAACACCGGAAGCCCGGGTTTAGGAAGTGTTATCCGATCCAAACTCCCGATTACAACATCTACCCCTCAATTCAACGCCTAAAACATCGCACAAAAAAGTTGCTGTGGTGTAGCGGTAATTGGGGGTCTTTGGGTTGAAGAGTTCAGGCGTAGAAAGAGTAGAAGTTTATGGCTTTTTGAACGAAATACGCTCGGGTAAAATGGGTTTGAGAGTAATACAAAAAAATGAAAAAATCCAGCCACGTTCGCTCATCACGCATTAAAATGCGAGAGAGACAGAAATATGGCGAGAGATAGCAAGAGAGAGCGAGAGATAGAGAGAAAAGATAGAGAGAGCGAGAGAGAGATAGAGAAAGGCAGTATTTTTCAGGTGTCGCCGTCCCTTTAAACCGAATTAAAAAATTACCCGAGAGAGAGAGAGAGAGAGAGAGAGAGGGGAGAGAGGGAGGGGAAAGAGAGACAGAGTTTTTCATATGACACTCCTCTTTACACACACTAGAAAATGGCAATTGGCAATTGGTGGCAAAATGGCAAACCATTGGCAATTTACCAAGCAAGTCTGAAGACCGAAATTTCCCGAAACAGCCACGAGATAGACAAAAAAGTCTGGAAGCCGGAATGCAAAGCGTGGGAAACGGCAGAGCAGGAGACACTTCCTAGACCGGAACCAACTTTGGGGCACGTCCGCTTAAAAATTCCGAGTGTGTACGCCCGGGAAAAACGGACTGGTTTTCGAAGCGGGGGTGGCTGACATTTTGAAAGGGGGAAGAAGTGAATGAATTTCGACAATTTTAATTTTTCCGCTCTCTTTCTCTCTTCCTCTCTTTTTCTCTCTCTCGCCTCCTCTCTCTCTCTCTCTCTCTCTCTCTCTCCTCTCTCTCTCTCTCTTCGGGTTTCAAGTAAAAAGCTGGATTTGCGGCTAATGTAGGCAAGCTTGCTATGTAGGTTTCTTTGGAAGGAGAGAGCGAGAGAGAGAGAGGGAGAGAGAGAGAAAGCGAAAGAAAACTTCCAAAAAAAAACACGTCAAAAATAAAAAAAACCCTGCCAAATACGCTCTATTTATGTAGTCACGGTAATTCTCGAAACCATTGAGCACTCCAGGGCGAAAAAACAGATACCCGAGGTGACTATTAGTCTCAGCATACAGGAATTACCCCTGTCTAATCTCCCATTTTTGTAGCTGCTTGGAGGGCCCGTTTCCGGAAGTGGAAGTCTTGGAAATTACAGAGCTTACACTTTTCGATACCGGCAATTAAAGGGATCGAATCTGGAACTCGTGGACTGAAAAAAGCGTTGAAGAAAGCCGTAAAACATCGAAGGAGCAGGAAAAAAGTTAGCCTTTCTATCCCTTTCCCTCTTTCTCTCACTCTCTAGCTCGCGCTCTTTCTATCTCTCTCTCTCATTCTCTCGCTCTTGCTCGCCTCAAGCTATTCAAAAGTCTGAGCTACACCTCCGAAAGCTGTCAACCCGCGTGAACCAAATGGACCGTCGAAAGTTCGATCCCATGCCCTAGACTGAAAAGGAAAAAGAGGCTTAAGGCAAAAAGCACATTATGAGT